AGGTCACAGCAAGGGACCTGGGCTAATAGATGCTGTTCCTGACAGGACAGAGGTCTTCTCGGCTTCTCTTTCCACATCCACAGAGTGGGGACAATTGATGAATTGCTCTCCTGCCTATGACAGGAGCCAAGGAGAACACAGTGTGCAGGTGCCCTGTACTGGTAAAGCATTCTCTACTTACAGGGACACTGAAAAATCCAGGGACGTCCCAGTGAGAGCAATGCCTCACAGGAAGGAACACACAAGTGCTAGAGTGTGATCGTGGCCACCTTCCAGCTTTAGGTGCCCGTGGCTGAGCACTGGGCCAAGGATTTAACTCCCATGGACCTGAAGGGGAAGCCAACAGGGATGAGGACCGTGTAGCACAGCAGCGACTTCTGTTTTGTCACCTGGTTTACATTAGGCTTATTTTAAGCCTTTGTTGTTTATTAGCACATGTTCACAGTACGTGACCATCACAGTCCTGGGGAGAGTAGGTGTGTGTACACACTACATCCTCATTCCTTTCTCACTACCCTACTCTGCTCCCTCCATCTCTGGTGTGCCCAGCACTTAGGCAGGCTTTTGTCACTTGGTTTAACTGTGTATGTTGCAACTTCTTTAATTGGTTTCATGTCTGGAATGAAGGACTGAAATGAAAGTGTAACTCTTGGGGGAGTTGTCCTGGCACTCAGATGACTTGTCATACTTTTTTTAATCTGCTGGTCTTTTCCTTAAGGTGAGGGAGCTAATCTAATTATCTTTTGAAGACAAGCTCATGCTTACAATATGCCAGTTTGGGCTGTTCTCAGAATGCAGCCCCAAGAGTGGGTGGACAGAAATGGGGATGTGGGGGTGTGGAGTGTACTTGAGTTCTTCCCTACTCAGAAGGCGGGAGACTTATCCCACAAGTCCTGAGAGCAGAGTAAATGGCTGTTGACAATGGAAGAAGGGATTCAAGTGACATTCCGGGTTGTGACCTTGCATCAGACCCTTACCTTCTTTGAGCCTGGTTCCCACACTTGCAAAGTGAAGTTAATTCTATCTTGTAGTTACAGTGAGGGCTGAGTGAGACCGTGTACCCCTGGGCCCATGCAGCCCGGGCTTGGTGTGTGGTGAGTACCCAATAACCAATACCACATGCTGCGTAGGTTTAATCCTTTCAGGAGCTGACTCAACCTTCACTTGGGTTGAGAAAGCCCTAGATAGGGATGACTCATCCTGTGTTGCTGGTCACTGGATAAGGAATTATTTTAAAACTCTCCTATGCACACAGCAGTTTCTAGACGGTGCCTCATGCCCAGAATGAGGCAATTAATCTCGTGAGAGTTCCTGATGAGGGTAGCCACTTGTGGCTTGGGCTCTGCAGGGTTTTGCTGGCTGCAGTGGGTAAGCGAGCCCTGGGAGCCCTGGGAGCTGGAACTGCGTCACGTCTCTCTTCCCAAAAGTGGGGCTCAGAATTAGAGCTGGGTGCAGCACAACTTGAGTTTCTTCTCCTTTTTGTTGTCTAAAAAAACCTGTCACAACTCTGGACAGAGTAAAAACTGTATATTCAGAGGAATACTCTCTGTACCTATCACCTATCCATATCTGTTTATCTATACCACCCAGCTGTCATCTGTTAACACAGCAATCTGGCTTATTTCACACAACATGAGGTCTCCAAGCCATTTTCCTGCTAATGACCTGGCTTAGATGTCACGGTGGAGTAGGGGACTTGCATTTTTTATCCACTCCTCCATGAGCAGGTGGGCATCTAGGCTGAGTTCACAGCTTGGCTACTGTGGTTTGATAAACATGGTGTGCTGGTATCCTTGGATTAGGTTTACTTTAATTCCTCTGGAATTAAATTTATATACTGAGGGAGCTACAGCTGGATCATATGGTACTTCTGTGTTTTGTTTTGTTTTTTAGGAAACTCCACACTGACAGCCATAGCAGCTGTGCTACTGACCTTCCTACCAACAATGTACAAAGGTTCCCTTTCCAGCAGATCTGCATAGCATTTATTGTTTTATTTTAAGCTATATACTCTGTATTGTAAGCTATATATTCTGACTGGGGTCAGATGTAGTTTTAATTTGCATTTGATGGCTAAAGCTGTTGAACTTCTTTCATACTGTTATTAGTCATTTGTGCTTCTTTGGAGAAGTATCTGTTCAATACATTTGCCCAGTTATTGATTGCTTTTTTAATTTCTTGGCATTAAGTTTCTTGAGTTCTTTATGCATTCTGGATTTTAACCCTCTTTTAGATGAGTAGCTGGCAGACTTGCTCCTGTTCTGTAAGGGCTCTCTTTGCTCTATGAATGGTTTCCTGTGCTGTGCAGAGTTTTCTAATTTGATGCCATCTCATTTCATTACTTTTGCTGTTATTTCCTGAACTACTGGAGTCCTACTTGTCATTACTGGGCCTCTAAGAAAGTTTTAGTATTACTCTCTGCATCCATCTATTATCTCTATTATCTACCAATATTTATTCATATCTCATCCCTCTATCATCTAATAATACATCTAATAGTATCTATTTCTTTTACCAGTTACTATCTGTATACATTTATTATCTACCAATGTTTATCCCTCATCCCTCTATCATCTCATAATATCTCTTTACTAGTTACCATGTATTTATTAAGGTTATTCATATCTTCCATCTATACCCATTAATATCTACACTCTCCTCCCCTGTACAGAAGTAGGCCTGGTTTTCACTGTCCCTTACCTCAATTTCCCACCTAATACACTACCACTTTGTTTCAGGGGGTGTGCCTCACCCTTTTCTAATACAGCTGCATTATATTCTTCCATCAGCTCACATTCGATGGGCTTCCAGTTGTTTCAGGTGCTCAGTTGGCTGTTACAAAGCATCTTGCGATGAAAATATTTTTGCCATTATAAATTACCTTGTGATGAAAATGTTTTTGCTATTATAGATTATCTTGCGATGGAAATACATTTTCAAGGATCTTAGAAAACTCCAGAAGAAGGCAGGTAAATTCTCTATGGTGGAATTACTGGCTCATAGGAGATGTGTATTTTCAATGATGATCCAAAGTGCTCTCAGGCCCCACACTCACCATACCGCTTAAACATGGTACACTGTTTGTCTGCCAGCCTGCACGAGAGAAATCTTGATGAAGACAAAAGCCTTCGGTGCAGTTGTGCTGTCAGCTGATGAGACTTTTAGAACTGTTCCTGTTCATATCTTTCACATCTCTGTTTTCATTTTTGCCTTGTTTCTATCACCACACACAAGCAGTCTTGCATCTTGTTTCTATCATGGTTTTTATTCACTTTCTTAGTAATTCTCTCAGGGTTCTGTTAGGCATTTCTGGTCGTGGATTCTAAAATTTCTGTCACCTGTATTCAGACAATGGTTAGAATATGATCCAATGGCACTGAGGGAGGACCCTGAAGGTCCCAAAGGTGCTCACAATGACTGCTCCCTCAGTTCCAAAGGTGAGGGAGATTCTGGGTTCTGGCCAAGTCCCGCCCCTTCCCCATCACACTGGTGCTGATGAATAGAGGTTCATTTCTCTGTGAAGGAACTTGGGGATCCTGTAAGGGCCTCCCTGAGAAGCCCAGGGTGAGCTGCAGGGACCTGGGCTTTTGTTACACTTCTGAACACCAGGTCGAACTCCAAATGCTAACATTCTTCCCTACCAAACTGGGGAATTCATATATATTCAT